GAGGAGTAAGTAGGAAAAGTTAGTGCGCGGAGAGGCGAGGTGAAGACGAAGAGGGAAAACTAGAAAACTGAATGAATTCGGACGGGTTTTGGTGCCAGGTGCATGCGGAAGTGAGGAAGGAGATGCAGACGACGAAGTGAGAGATGGCGGGAAAAAAAAAATTACGAAGCCCGCTCGATCCACGATGAAACCGAGCGGAGGAAGAGGCGGCCCCGGGGTTTTGACCCCGGGCGAATCACGTGGTGAGGTTAGTTTTAGTGATTAGATGGTAGAAAGGGAGATTAGTGAGAAGAGTTGTGCGCGGAGATGGTCGGAGATGAAGAAGAAGGGAGCCTGAAGGTAATTATCTCACCCGTTTCTTAGTGGAAACGGGTGATTGAAGGCATGATTCGGGGGTTTTCGAGGGCGGCGACTCTGACTATGCAGTTAGATCTAGACGAGAGTTAGTAAAAAGATAGTTAGTCAGAAAGTAGGCTGCGTGTCGGAGGAGGGAACGACTTCCAGTAAATAAATGAATAAATAAATGGCAATGTATCCGGCCGCTTTTCACGATAGAGTCATTCTGATTTTGCTTAGCCTACCGGTAGAAGTAGCCGCTCCCGTTCTCACTGCGCGCGGGTCTGAAAGGTGCGCACCTGGCTTATTGGTAGTTCGAAGTCGTGTCGGGCATTGCCTCAGTCGTGTCCCCGCTTACGGCCCATAGCAGGGTTCGAAGGAACCTGGCCACATCAACGGCCAGGTGCGTCCATGCTGTAGGAACTGCAAAGAAGAGGGTGAGAGGGGCAGATGAACTACGAGTCGAAGAACTTACCTGCTGCCCGTGTCCCGCTTGTGTGAATGTGGTTCTTGCTGATCACTGAGTTCGCTATCGAGGCATTGTAGAGTTGCAGCTTGGTTGCAGACGAAAATACGAGATTTGGCTACTGCATTTAGGGCCCGGGCTATAGCAGACTGTTGCGTCTGGGCACAGATTATAACAACTGTTGTCGTTGCTGTTGGTGACTACTGCCGCTGCTGCTGGTGAAAATTRCGGTTGTTGGCTACCGCCGAGTATTGCTGCTGTATCTAAAGGCTGTTACAGACTGCTGGCCGGATACGATCAGGTTGAACAAGTAAGGGGTCATGGCTGCAGATTGGACGACCGTCAGGAGAGTTACCTCGGCAGTTTGACTTCGTTGACCAAGCTATCAGTTGACCGCCATTGTGAGGCCCTCACGCGAATCAAGGTTTCAAGACCCTTTCTTGCGAGAATGAGAGCACCATTCTTGGATCTGAGAGTCTCACACTTTTCTTTTTCTATCTTTGTAAGTCTAAGTCTAGTCTGCTGGTTACGAGGGGAAGGCGGCAGGCGGGATTGCAACCCGTAGGTCCGCATCAAGACTCTGTGGGGAGTCCACCCACCGATTGCGGGAGCTCTGCCGGAACAAAGGCGAGGTTCTGGAGACAGGGAATCATCAGGTATACCATCTCCATCTGTACAACGTACTACTACACATGTTTGCCTATATCCCTGTAGTATGATTGCCGTATGCATGCGTTGTCCCTATGGTTTTTGCTTTCTCTTCAGGAGCTAATCAGATTGAATGAAAAAAATGTGTGAGAGTGAACCTTAAGTTTCATCTTTGTTTTGACAGAAAGTAGACTAAGGATGACCTGGGGGAAAATAAGAGGAAGGCAGTTTTGCATGCGTTTGAAAGGGGCAACCAAAGCATGAGCATTGTTTCTACTGTGAATGACTCAGGGCTATGTTTATTTGACTGTTTTCTGAAGGACCTGGCATTGTTTCTACTGTGAATGGCTTGGTTGCTATGTTTATTTAGTTGTTTTCTGGAGGACCAGACATTGTTTCTACTGTGAATGGCCTGTTTACTCTAGTTAACTCTGAGGGTTTGCCTGATTGAAGGGGTTTAAATTCTTGTTTATTCTGAGGGAGAATTTTTGGTCTAAGGTTAAGCATTGTTTTTATGGTGAACGATTTAGCCTGAAAACCACGCACATAAATTAAACTGAGTATAAACGAAAGTACTTTATGTATATTTGCATGTGAACTGGCAGCTGGACATTGTTTCTACTGTGAATGATCTAGTGTTAAACCATATCATTAAGAAGAGAAAAAAAAAAATACAAAGTATAAATGAAAATAGTTTGGGCAAGCTGAACATTGTTTCTACTGTGAATGGTTCACTCCCCTCCCTATATTTGTCTTTTCTTTTGAAAACGAAGTCAGAGAAATACTAAATCTTTGGATATAAAACAACTTAGGGCGACTAGACATTGTTTCCATGGCGAATGACCTTGTCATCTGCCCAAAAGAAGAGAGAAGTAGTTGTGCAACCTGTTCGTGTATATCATAAAGACAAGCTGGACATTGTTTCTATGACGAATGGTCCAGCTCTATGTCTTATGTAAGATGGGTATAAGGATATAAGGACTTGAAGATTCATGAACTATTTATATGGAATGAACTTGGGATGGTGAGAGTACTTACATTCGTGGTTTGGTTTGTATGTGACTGGATGGGATGACTAGTTTGTTTGGGTTTCAGTATTATAGGTAGTTGCTTTAGTTGCTCGCCACGTGCTAGAGCCATAGGAGTTAGTGTCGATTCCTACATTTTCTATAATAACTTTTTTTTACTTAGGTCAATTTCTGCATTTTCTGAGATCTTTTCTTATACTTGGCTTTGTATAAAGCTTGACAAACTACTTTTCCTACGGGAAGCGCTGCCGAAATTTCTACAAATCCAAGAAGTTAGTCAACTTTTGACTTGTCAAAGTTCAACTTGTCTTTTCCATATATCTGGCTTAGTATAAATCTGGAAAGTGATTTTTTCTAGAGGGAGTGCTGCCCAAATTTTTACTAATTTACGGAGTTAGACAAAATTGGACTTTGAGAAGTCAAAGTTATTTTCAAATTCTTGACCTCGCTTTGTATAAATTTTGTGAAAGTACTTTTCTAAAGGGAGTGCTGCCGAAATTTCTGCAAAATTAAGGAGTTGGTTAAATCTTGTCTAAATTGAACTCAAGTTGTCTTGTGAGTTCAAATCTGACTTAGTATAAATCTGGGAAGTCTCCCTTTGTAAAGAAAGTGCTGCCGAAATTTTTACTAAATCAGGGAGTTAGATAAAATTTGACTTTCTAGGAGTTAGAGATTATTTCTGCTCTCATATCTGGGCTTATATAAATTATGGAAAGACACTTTTCCTACGGGAAGCGCTGCCGAAATTTTCTTAGTTTATAGGAGATAGATTGTATTTTGACATGTGGTGATTGAGGCGATCCACCCGGAATAGGGGAGATTCTGCAGTTGGTCTACCTTTGGCTTAAGCACTGACTTAAAAGTAGACTTAGGTTTAGCTTAAAAGGAGATTTTGAGTGAGGATGTATTATAGAGTTGTATTCTCTATACACTTATGATCTTAGCTTGGGGATTGGTCTGCCGTGTGTTACAGGTTTTTTTTTATCATTTGATCCAATTTCAGGGCTAGATCCAGCTTGATCCCTTGAGGATCACTTTCTGTTATCACTGATAATAGGTCGGTTGCCGATTTGTCAGTCTACGACTCAATTTCAACTTTCCCTCCACACTCAACCTAAAAGGCTTTAGCCTTGGTGATTTCGTTGTTTCATTAAGGTTTCACCCGGACTTTTATTGAATGGCCATTTAACAAAGGTACTAAGTATTTTAATTAAGGTTGGTTGGACAGGACGTTTGGGGCTTGCATGGCTAAAGCGAGGGGTATGAGTGTCGAAGGTGCTTGGGGTTGACTCCGCGTAGCGTGTGGGCTGTTGATTTGACTCGTCGATGTGATTGCAGGTATGATTGTGGTTCGAACTCTGGGTGTGGTTGCCTGCGATTTCATACACATATGGCTGAGAGGAACCTCACTGTAACTGTGAGAAGTGATCGCCCTATATGACTTATCCTTATATATTTATAAGTGCCCTGAGTATTCGAGAGACCTACTGCAATTGTGCATAAGGGTTAACCAGATTATGGCTTGAGAGGAAAGGATTACCCTCTGTTATCTTTTGCTCTTTGGAGTTCTTATAGTTGGACGTTATAGTCCGTGACAGTCGTCAAAGTCAACCCCCTTGATGTTCGACTGCCACAACAGCTTAAAGCTGTTTACTCAATCCCTCTGCACAGGGTGCAGAAGAGGGTGTGGTCTTCAACCGCGCATGACGGTTGTTCAGCGTCGAGAGATTAACCCTCAAGGCGCGTGTCAGCCGACATTTGAGTATCGAACGCGATCCTCGAGATTAACGAGGATCGTCTGAGTATGGGTACTACATAGTACGCCATTGTCACGACTGCCGGCGTACGCTTTCATTGCGAGTCGATATGAGTTAGCCCTGCGTCTGCGCGGTTTTATACTAAGTCTCGCGCGCGACACCTATTCGATTTCCACATTGGAAAGTTATGGGTTGGCAACCGAGGGGCTAGGAGCGTTGTTGCGTTATTTGTGTTGTGCTGTTTTGTATGTGTGTGTGTGTGTGTTTTATTTTTGTGTTCGTAAGGAGGTGTCCACGTGGTGTGTGGGATGCGTCCTAGTCGACCGACGACGAGTCGCACTTGGGACCTCAGCCCCCCAAGATGTCGGTTCGCGTGCGGGTTCGATAGAGGCGTATTACCGCGCGTATCCCCTATACTACAGCGAACGAGAAACACCCTCGGCTGGTCCTCCTTTGCGACAGCAACTGATTAACTCTCGTACTGTGGACTGGTAGCTCGGCGGGGATACGCCCACCGAAGGGAGGTGACAACTCCCGTAAGGTGTAGGTAAGTCGTGCCTAGCGTAGGCCCTATCCTGTCGTAGGGGCTCGCGAGAGGTATGGCTGGCGCACTCTGCCGGAGCGGCTTAAGGAAGTTTCATATGTATTATTTGCGACGAAGGACTTAAAACCAACTCCTGCGTGATGCGACCGGGAGGGTCCCGTGCTGCCCTGGTGCGGTGCCGGACCGATGCGCTCGACAGGTGGCGCCGTTGCCGGGGATAACGGAAAGCCTACCGTTGTCGCTGGTGGAACGACATCTAGGTATGAGAAGTGAGCGAGAAAAGGCAAAAAGGAAGGACGAGAAAGTTTGAAAAATAATGAATGACTAAGTATAGGTGAGGAAATTTACCTACCTGAGTAAGGGAAGGTATGAAGGACGAACGTGTAGCATTGGGTAAAGGTACGTAGTAAGAGATAGGTAGGACGGATTAAATATACCGGTCAAGGTGCAATGCTGAATAAAAGAAGTATGCTTGTTTTTTCTTTCTTATCAGGGAACTTGAAGGGAAAAGTCTGTCAAGATGCCGCAGGGCGGTGGCGCATCGGGTGGTTCCAAGAAGGGCCTGACGCTCGATGACCTCATTGCGGCCATTGACAGGCATGAAAGGAACCCGAGCAATATCCCTAAAGTCGATACCTTCCACTTTTGTGGAGAGAGGGTTTCAGAATGGCTTTGGTCGGGCGGTCGAACGTTGTAAAGTTCCAACGCATTCTTCAGTATGTCCTCCACAGCTACCACCAGGAAGTGGAGAAAGTCATAGATGCGGCCCAAGGTAGTTGGGAGAGGTCCAAGGAGGGGATGCAGAGGAAATACCGCCTGGGAGACGGGTTGTTGACTACCGCGGACCTTGAGGCGATGAACAAAGAAGATTTTACGAAGATAGGGGCCTTTGTTCAAGAATTTAAGAAGAGGGCGCGGAAGGTCCATGGGATTTCGGAGGAAGCACAATGCGTCATTTTTCTAGGGTTACTCACGGCATCGGAGACCGTCGAGTTGACGAGACATTGAGGGGGTAGCACCAAGCTCACCTGGACCACCATTGACAGAGGGGTGGAAGTTGGGTGTTTGGACCAGGTGGAGCAACGTCAGGTACGGCTGCAAAGGCAGAAGAGAAAGGAAAGAGATGCGACCGCTTCTGGGACCCCGGGGGTAACAAAGATCGTTACAGACGTATTGACACAGCTGGGGTATGCGACAGAGTCGGTGGTGCAAAGGAGCGTAGTAACGGCTGTCCAAGTGAAAGGAACGGAGTCGGTGATAGAGGAGGCTGTTTAGGAGGAGCTCTGGGAAGAGGAAGAGCCGGTGCCGCATCACCTGACGAAGGCCCAGCGCAAAGTGCGTAACTTGGCGCATGGCGGAGAGGGATCAGGAAAAGCGCAGGCGCCTCAGGCCTTGACACCAACCCCTTTGAATGTGGCGGCTCCATCATCTAGTACGGGCGTCTCGCAAGGAGGGGCGCCCTCCTACGGACAGTGGCCCTGGCCGGTGATTAATGCAATCGTACCATGGGGTAGCCCGCCACCAGTAGCCGGACCGCAAACAAGTATGCCGCCACCCATCTACCCCGCAGCCCAGGCCCAGCCTGTGGCCCCACCACCGTCACCCGCTCCCAGTTCACAGGGAAGCGTGGCTGGAGGTGGGAACCAGGGGCAGGGCAATCAAGGCAACGGAGGGAGGGGTGGAGGAAGGGGGCGAGGCAGGAATGGCGGCGGAAGAGGAAGGCAATGGAATGGTCAAGGCCAAGGGTACCAAGGTCAAGGGAATCAAGGCGAGGAGTACCAAGGCCAGGGGTACCAAGGCCAAGGGAATCAAGGCCAGGGGTACCAAGGCCAGAGGTACGAAGGCCAAGGGTACCAAGGCCAGGGGTATCAAGGCGAGGGGGATCAGGGAAGTCAAGGGTATGGAAGACCCCGTTTTGACTAGAGGATGGCCATCTGCCAACATTGTGACCAGCAAGGCCACACTATAAGGTTCTGTAATATAAGACGGGAAGACGAGAGAAGCGGGCTGATTTCCTCCACTATGGATGGGAACATCTACGATCAGTTTGGGGAGGCCATTGACAAAAGGCTTGGAGGAGTGAGGGCGGAAGCCCAACGAAGGGCGGCAGCTGGGCCGCCACCCCGTGCCATTTTCAGGCTATGGCAGGAGAAGAAAGGACCGTCGGTGGGGATAGAGGAATTTAGGTTATGGCAGAAAAAGGAAGAATTACCGATTGGGGTAGAGGAAGTGGGAAGCGATGAGGAAGTGACTCAAGGGCCACGAGGAGGAAGTAAGTGGGAAGAGCCCATAATCATTGAGTCAGATGACGAAAATGAGGAAGAAAGGATGGAACCTTCGTCCGTCTTGTTGGGGAAAATGGAGGACCTGCTCGATAAGATGGGGAGGTACCAACAGAAGTTGGTGGACCTCTGTGATGAAGTGAGGAAATTGAAGTCTAACATCCCCAAGGTGTTCCTCTACGACTCTGGTCTGGAGTCAGCGCCTGGACGACCCAGAGTAAATGTGGTGTGGTCGTGCCCACAATCGGGTATGATGGGGTGACCCCTCACTTCGCAGGCCCGGCTGGCGCACGCAGCACGAACGAGAAGTCAAGCCAAAACCAGCACCAGCCAAGAGCCTCCAAGGAGGGAGCTGGAGCCAGGAAAAAGAAAGGAGGCTGTGGAAGTGGAGGATGACGACAACGAGGAGGAAGAGGACGAGAGGCTGCGCAGGGAGGAGGATCAGAGAGCGGAGCAGCGGGCAAGGAAAAAGGGAGCCAGGGGAGAGGTCGAGCCGGTCGTGTGTGACGGACCGCCCAAAAGAAAGAAGTATGCGGTTCGGTTGGAGGAGGGGTTTGATGTAGAGCAGGTGATCAACATACTGCTAGAAGGGCACAATGACCACATGACTCTGAAGGAAATCCTAGCGTCGGCCCCACGACTCTGCGATGAACTGAAGGGGAGATTGTCGCGGCGCCTGGTGCCCAATGTCCATCTGGGTACGATCCTGCCCAAGGAGGCAGAGTGGGCGGAGTCAGGTACGAAGATGGACTGGAAGTGCGTAGCCTGCGGCATGATGGATCTGGTGGTAAAGGGCTCCAAGTGTGCAACAATGGTGGACACCGGGGCCGAAATAAACATCATTCGGGAGGCGGACGCAATCAAATTCGGGCTGGATATAGACCGCTCTGACTGCAGTATTCTGCATGGAGCCAGCTGTAAGGCCGTGTTTTTGCGGGACAGCCTCGAATGTGCTCATCGAGGTTGGAAAGGTGAAGGCCAGGGCATGCTGCTTCATAATGCCGGACGTGGATCCTGGAATCCTCCTGGGAGATCGTTCCTAAGTAGGACAGAGGCCGTGATGTTCAACAAGCATGACGGGACTCTAATCCTTCTCGTATGTGACCCTGCCTGCGGGAATTATGAAATAATTACCTGCAGAAACACAAGGCCGGGAAGCATAAGGAACCGGCCCAATCGAGGATCGTTCACAATCGAAAAATCGGAGGGCGAGCGCCGAAGGCTTCGGGTAGAGCCGGAAGGAGAAGAGGAGCTGAAAACGTTTTCCCTTAGCCTATCGGACGTCGGAAAGGCCATGGACTTGGTGACCGCACATGAGATGGCGGATCCGGATGCCATCCAAACCTTGAGGGAGCAAGTTCTGGAATGCCTCGAGGCCGGAAGGTTGGAGCTGGTATATCGGTTTCCGGGCGGTCGGAGGAGCCCCGCATCAGCGCAGGCGCAATCTGTGAGTCAGTCTTTTTTAGGGGGCGGCTCAAGCAGGGTTCCCAAAGGCGGTACAAAATGGTAGATAAGAAGTGACGCCCGGTTTCCGTCCTCGTTACAGAAGATGAGGAAGCATACTACAAAAGGGAACGAGGGTTGATACGACGAATGAGGGAGAGTGCTCTAGCACGGCCATATCGTATGAACGAAGGGAACGAGGGGAAGTTGATTATAGGGGAACCCGACTTCCTACTGCCTCAGGACCGAACGTTGATGGGGGAGTTGATGAAAAGGAGGCATCGCGCCTATGCGTTTAGCGACGAGGAGCGTGTCAGACTGGATGTGGACAAGATACCTATGATCCGCATTCATACCGTGCCACACGAGCCTTGGAACATGAGAGGGGCACGATATCCCAATCCTGACGAGGAAAAAAAGGTGGTGGATTACCTCGACGACAAAATATGTACGCACGCCGCCGACTATTCGAGTGGACCGTAGGCGTCCCCGTGGTTCTGCTTTATCAAGCCTAACGGGACGATTCAGGGGGTGCAAGATTTGCAAAGACTGAATACGATGACCGTGCGGGATGTTGGAGGATTGCCCAATGCTGACGCGCTGTCAGAATCGAGTGCTGGAAGGCCTATAATCTCACTTATAGACCTTTACTCAGGATATGATCTGTTCCCAGTCTACCCGCCGGACAGGCCTGTGACGGCTATGCACACGCCGCGAGGGCTAATCCACATGAACGTGGCCCCGCAAGGGTGGACCAATGCGGTAGCAATGGTCCAACGGGCCATGATTCGGGCTATGCAGTCAGTTAGCCCCCATATCACACAGCCATACATCGACGATTTGGTGGTGAAGGGGCCGACGGTGAAAGAAAGCGACGAAGTCTCGCCAGGGGTAAGGCGCTTTGTCTGGAAGCATATCCAGGACCTCGAAAAGGTCCCGAGCCTGCTCGAAGAGCATAACCTCACGGCGAGCGGGGCCAAATCCAGACACTGCATGAGGGAAGCGACTATCTTGGGGTTCGTCTGCAGTGAGAAGGGCCGAAGGCCGGATGTGAAGAAGACGGACAAGATTACTGAGTGGCCRGTTCCGTTCCACTCAATAACTGGTGTTAGGAGCTTCCTTGGTACATGTGGATTGTGGGGGGCCTTCGTCAAGAACTTTGCCGCCAAGACTGAACACCTGAGGAAGTTAGTCCGTCAGGATCAGGAATGGGTTTGGGGTGAAGAGCAAGAAGAGGTGGTGGCTAGAATGAAGGAGGAATTTCGAGAAGGAGGGTTGGTGTTAGGAGCGCCAGATTATGATGCCACGGAGACACGACCCTTCGTTGTCGAAATGGATGCGGGGCCAACTGCCTTAGGAGGAGTTCTAATCCAGACATACATAGAGGTAAAGGAAATGCCCTTGAGATTTGAGAGTCGGACTCTCTGTACGACCGAGAGAAACTATTCTCAGTTAAAGAGAGAGACCCTTGCCGTCCTCCACTGTCTGCGGATCTTCCGGAACTACATCTTCGGCAGGAGGTTTATTTTGAGAGTGGATCCGACCGCCCTGGCCTACTCTCTAAGGAATTACGTTCCATCGGATCCGACGGTTGCCAGATGGCTGACGTACATCTGGATGTTCAATTTTGAATTGGAACGGATTCCTAGCAGTAAGAACTGGGCGGACGGGCTGAGTCGGATCAACTGGGATAAACAGGAAGGGGAGGCGGTGGAGAATATGCCCCCAGTTGATGGATTTTTGGATCAGGAGGAAGATATTCGTCTCCATATCAACAAGTGGTCGCCGCGAGTGTCCGGCTGTGTATGCTATCCTATCTGGCAAACGCCGAGTGGATACAAATGGAGGGCTGAACCTTTGAAGAAGAGGATCCCTGGGGTGGTAAGAATGTTCAGTGGATGATGGAGTTAGCGCTGGCCAACTCGCATAGCCTGGTGGAGGACATGAGGACGATTGAGGAAGGACCTGGCCAGGTAGAACGGCATGAGGACCTGATGGGAGGAATGTATCTCCTCATCACCACGTTATTGCAAGAAAGCCTCAACCAGTCAGGCTCGTTGAACCCGGCAGGAAATGTGGACGAAGTGCCCGAGAGCCAGGACGACGAGTTCGAGGGGGGGGAGATTAAGGAGGCCTTTCGTGCAGAGGAGTATGATGGGATCTACCTAGAGCTGGGACTTGTTTTGTCCTGCGAAATGCGGCTAAGGGATGCAAGCGATAGGGCTCAGAGGATGCTGCAGTGCTACTTAGTGCGAGACGGCCACCTTTTTGTAAGGAGAGAAGTGGGGAATCCCAGGAGAGTCGTCTGCGGTAGGAACCGTCAGATTGACGTCGTAGCAGCGCTTCACGATGGCATTGCAGGAGGGCATCAAGGGGTACAAGCCACGTTGTGAGGAAACCCGGGGAGGGGCGCCTACTGTTCGCTGAAGCCAAGGACAACAGCGCCTGTCACTCGCTACGCCCGCTTCCGAGGTCCTCAGCGATCAGTAGGGGATAGCATTCCGACTGTCTCCCAAGCGTCCGCTGTAGCGGGTTTAAGAATTCTCATTTTCACCTCGTCAAACAACAATTACTAAGCCAGAACCAAACGAACAGGGATGCTTCGTAAAGTTGATATCTGCTAACCCTTGAAGGTCTTTTAATTTATCTGATTCATTGGACTAAAGATACAATTACTGCCCATAGGCTTGTACTTAGGAGTTTGCTCGAGCRAAGGGCAATTTGACAAAATGAAATACACGGAAGCGCGGTAGTGAGTAAGAGTTAATAATAATTCAGCACAATCAACACCTCTTTGAATGCACTGTATGAGTGTCCGCCAATAGACGGAGAATACCTGATTACCTTATGAAAAGTCGATCTGCCAATGATAATTCTTGATCTGCCCTTTAACAGAGACTGCTTGACCAGTCAATGGGCGGAGAGTCTTCGACCTGTGAATGTCTGTTTGATCAGCCAATAGGCAGGCAGTGATTGACCTGCTAATGCGAAGTGGCTGATCTTTTTTTTTTTTTTTTTTTTTTTTTTT